ACACACACACACACACTCACTCACACACAGACACACAAACAAACACACAAACACACTAACATGCTCACACATACAAACACACACATAAATCCCCTTCACCCCCCACCCCTTCCACACACACACATACATACATACATCATACACACACTCATGCACACAATATACACACCCTCTCCACTCCACCCCCTTGCACTTCTAACGCAAACTTACACACATAATAATAATAATATTAACATGCACCTGTACCATGGCCTACAAAATACAACTTTATTATTCAGTTGAGCGCATGCAGCATGAAATGAACGTGCTAACATACCTGTCTTGTAAATAGTTCAACTTGTCCTCTTTTGAAGTTTTTCCTTTTTATCCCACGTCCATAGACATGTAAATCAAACCCAAGAACACGCTCACTGCTGCGGGTGGTTGGTTGGCGGGTGCTCTGGTGGGGTTTGCTCTTTCTTTGTTATCACATATTATCATTATTATTATTATTATTATTATTATTATTATTATTATTATTCTATCGTCCTCATCTGTCCTTGTTCATGTTTGGCACTCTGTTGTATCACCTCTAGCCTAGTCTTCAGCACCTAGATCTATACGTCTCTGACATAATTGTGTTGGAAATGCAATAAGACGTTCGCTAAAACTAAAACATACACACAGGAAAATTAAGAACAACACACTCACAGCCTTTATCTGGGTCTTGTCCGGTGCTCTGGTGTAGTTTGCTAGGCCTACTTCTTTCTTGTCACACATCTATCTCTGCTTCTTTTTTGTTTGTTTGTTTGTTTGTTTGTTTGTTTGTTTTTCTCTTGTAACACACTTGTCTTCGGCACTTCTAAGACTTAATATTGTATTGCTCGAGCCGTAAAACGCTCACTAAATAAATCATAGGCAGGTAGATTTATATTAAGCCCACCAACACCAATTAGGGTGTTGGTGGGTGTTCTGGTGCAGTATGCTCCTTCTTTAATATTATTAAAATATATTCTATCTTCTCTATCTCGCCTCCGCCTTCTATTTTGTGTTTGTAACTCTCTTGCAACACCCCCTAGAGTCTAGATCTAGATCTAGATCTAGATCTAGTCTTCCGCGCTTTTAGATCTATGACCTAGATATCTAGATCTAGGAAGTGCAGTAAATTACGAATAAATCATAGACATGTAAAATAAGCATAAATAACACACTCAGTGCATTTGGGTGGTAGGCGGGTGCGCCGGTCTAGTTTGCTCCAGTTTAATTTATCAAGCTTTTATCGGATTTATATTACTCATCATATCATTATCCATCCTCCCTTTTTAAAAAATAAATTAAGACAGCTAGGCTACTCTATAAAAGCAACACCTGCAATCTTCGGCACTTTTAATAATATTTATTACCTACTTGTGTTACAAATGCCGTAAAATATAGGGGAGGACTTCCGTAACGAGCGACCACTATGAGACAGAGCAGAATTGAGGGCTTGGGGTAGGAGTAGGGTTAGGTCTAGGCCTCTTTGTTTGATGGGGTGGTCGCTCGTTACGGAAGTCCTTCCAAATATAGATCTAGATTCTAGATCTACTTCTTTTCTTAAAAACTAACACTCATTAGGCCTACTCACTGTCAAGTAAGTGCGCACATATTGATTACACAACGCATCATCCTCGTCGCACTGTAAGGCACCACAAATGAATGAGTGAGGGGAGTTCCTGAGTGAGCGCACACAGGTGCACGTACACATTCACTGACTGACACACATACACACTTGACTAGATCTAGATTCTAAATCTAAGTCCTCTTCTTCGCCTCGCCCTCACACGATGACAGCGAAGCAACAGAGCAAGCGAGACGGTCTTCTTAGTTCTAAGTCTCAAGAAAGAACGATTTTTAACAGAACCGCCTCACCACAGGAACACCCCCACACGGAATTCCAGCTGACTGTATTTCTTTCTTTCTATCCAGACGACGGTGAAAGAAAATAATTTCCGTCATGACGCAGTGCCCCGTGGAGTCAGTCGACCATAACACCACCACCACCACCACCACTACAACCACCACCACTTATACCTCCAACCCGCGCTGTCGCCACCTCGGTACGTTAGGCCTAAGGACAGCACAGCCTGGAGGCAGCAGCCGTCTCTTGGCACAAA